GCATGATTACAACTCTATCTCGAAGAGACTATACTATCACTATTTGACATATGACTAACCAGAAATTACCCAAGTTGTATAAGCCAGTGGTAAAGCTTCCCATAAGAGATAGTTGAGTTAAGAAGAGCCATTCGAAACCGAACACGCCAGTAAAATTGGTATATATCGTACGGTGTCTGCGAGAGTTGCAACTGAAACAGACTCTTCGATTTTAAGCGGACCGTCAATGCGATCGCGCAGTAGAAACCCCCAGATAAGAGATGCAGCAATAATATTCTAGTTTCACCTAGCCTAGGAGTAGGAGATTGATGATATGTTTACTTCCGTTTAATTGCCAAGATTTTTCATCCAAACTACAACTTCTGGAATAATCGAGGATGTGTCGCCAATTCACGCTTTGATATGATATGCCTTGTATGTACCAGTAACGAAACGAACAAATCAATTTTGTGTGGGTGGCAGCAGCAAGGTGCATAAAACCCATGGTAGGGTGTACGTGTATAGCTAACTAAAATGGAAATCTGCTCCAAAATGGATTACGTGATATACCTGCCACAGAACGCTATTTTGAAATTTGCGAATTAAGCTACGGCAAACGCTCTGATCTAAAGTCCGTATGCCATCCGGCAATCTGTGTAATTCAGGTATTCTATACAATGCCTAGGGAATGTATGCAATTCCGAGTCTGTTTAGGAAATATTCACAATAATCATAATTGTAATAAATTTGGGGATGCATTTTCTTTTAAAACTTAGGCGAAGGGAAACTACTTCTATAATGGATAGAATATTGCGTATTGCGTAAAGTGTATAAAACGGGATAAAGGACCAAAATCGTCATTGGTTTCTACGTAAACCTATGGCATACCTAAGTAGTTCGAATGATGTAGCCTTCCTGTATATAAATCTGAAATCCTTTGGTTTTTGGGGAAAAACGCGTTACCGAGTTTTCGCGATTTTCCGATTTCTTTCAGAGTAAATGCGGTCATCTCATATATAGGGTGCAATTTTGAAATTGTCGATTTCGGGGTAACATATTGATATCTAGAACCCTATTGTTAGGCCGTGTGAGCATATGCAGGGTGTTTTCTAAAAAATTATTGCAATAATAACATCAATAAAACACGATAATATAGTAATAAATTTTTATTATGTAGTATTCGCCGTTTTATATTGTTTTATCGTTCTGTATTTTTTTTGCTTGATTGTTTTGAGAATGTAGGTACTTAGGGTTGCTTTTTAAGTGTCGTGGGAATTTTCTAAAAGGCTTAAAAAAAGCGCTAATATGCGTCTGTTTTGTAGTTGTAATCTCATGGTCCCGCTAGGGTGAGTGGTTATATTTGGCAGAAATACTTCCAAAAGTTGGGTATTTTACGTTTTGGGGTGCATTTTATATTCAGCGTAATGAGATTTTTTCACTTTCATTTTGTTTGCTTTTATTAGGGAAACCTACCATAAAAATTTACACAAATAAATTAGGTATACTCCTGCCTCAGCTATCATCAGCGCTGGCGTCTGGTTTATTGAAAACTGTTGACCACTTCCTTCATCGCAAAATTGTTGTGTAACACTTCAGAATATTTTATCTTCCCGTGCCCAAAGACGGAGGAAGTGGTGACACACCCACTAAATGCGTGAATAAAAAGAATAGTGCCCTCTTATGACGCTTCGTTTTCAAGATATTCGGTTGGACTTCACCAATAGATAGGTATATGTCTCGTTCGGAGGATTCATTTTGCCTTTGTGTGTACTCTCCTTCGACAAACCGTTTCGCTCATAAATTATGCCATCACCAAAAGATATATTTCTTCCAGACGTCCTAATCGCCTTTTGTGAGTATCTACTCTTCCAAGACAATCCGCTCTTGAGATGTAAGTAATTATAAGCGATCACGATAATGGGCCGAGGAGGAAGACTATGATTGGTAAAAGGTAATTCCTTTCACTTAGTCCATTCATTAGAGTACCATGAAGGATAAAACAAGTCCCCTTTCAACCCCCCCCCCCTTTTGATAAGAGGTTAGAAAGAAATGCGGGAGCTGGTAGAAAACAGTTACTTTTTCCTCTTTTAATTAGAATACCATGGAAGATAATACCCCCACCCCACCGGTCACCCAGTGATGTCGAAACGGATTCGCGCAGGCAGGTTAGTTTGTAGAAACCATTTCATTTCGATGAGACCTTTCATTAGAATACCATGAAGACAGAACGTGTATTTACCCCCTCTCCCTCCACCATTTTCAAAATTTTGACATGACATCACTAGATACATGTACATACAAAATCTGAGACAAATTAGTGGTCCCACATTTCTTTCAATTCTTAAAAAATGCGCTGAAAATGTTATTATTTTTAAAAATTACTATAAACACGAAACTTTAAATTAGTGTATCTCCTAAACTATACATGTTAGGGGGCCAAATAGAATATTAAATTGAAGGTACTTTTATAAACTTTCGGTTGATTTTTAGGGCATTTTTCAAAATTAAAAAATAAAAGTGCTATTTTTTGCGTTTTGTCCGTCCGTCCGCCCGGGCCCACTTCTACCGTTTTGAAGTACTTCTAGAATCTAGGGGAATGGTCCTAGGGTCCTGAAATTTTTTGCAGTAGGTAGCCTATACCTCGAAGGTGTGCCAGACGGCCATCAAATTTCGTAAAAGTAAAAAGTGCATAAGTTTTACATACGACAACCAATTGGTCTCAGATTTTGCATACCAAGTTAAACGTTAGAAAAAGGGCGGGGGGGGGGGGGGGATAACACATGTTCTACTCTTCATGGTATTCTAATGAAAGGTCTCATCAAAATAAATTGCTTTGTACAAACTGAAACTTTCCTGTGCGACCCTTTTTCGAGATCAGAGGACGACGGGACCGGATGGAGGGGAGAGGGAGGTTAAAAATTAATTTGATCTGTCATTTTATTCTAATGAATGGTCTCAACGAAAGGAACCGTTTTCTACCAACTACTGCCCTTCTTTCTGCCCTCTTATAAAAGTACGGGGTTGTGGGTGAGAGGGGGAGGGGAGAGTGGAACTAGTTTTATCCTTCATCGTACTCTAATGAAAGGTCTCAATCTCAACGAAAGGAATTAATGTCTACCAACCATAGCCCTCCTCCTCGACCTCTTATCGCGATCGGGTATATTCCCTTATACCTCAAGAACGGATTGTCGGAAGGGGGTACTCACAAAGGGCGATTGAGGGTATTTTTGCATTTTTCAACATGAAAATAACAAAACCGAATTTATTTTCGAAAACCTCGTTTAGGATTGCACCATCTACGGATTAAAGGAACATTTTTACAAAAAAATGCATGTTTGTCACCTCTGCCGCACCAGAAAATGCTCACATGGGAGATTCGCACCGGAAAATTCGCCCACAAAAAGTTTCACCTCGGGTTTCAGAATATTTTCTCTCTGTTCTTGAAAAATTCGCCATGCCAATACGATACGATATTCGATATACAGTGTGTTCCACACCTTTTTCTTATTATTAAAGATAGTACAGAATAGGTTAAATGAACAATGTCTCACTTGTAACAGTTCAAAATGTCGAATAGGTTGATTTTATAAAAAAAACTAACGGACATGTAATTGGGCGTTGCTAAGAAATCGTAGCTTCCACATTTATTCATTTCTTCTAGGGGCGAAAAATAGAAGGCAATAACTAAAAATTTGTAGAGCCGTTTTTATCACTGATAAGGAAACCATCTGCCGAACCTGATTGTGGGTGTGAGGTTTTTAATTGTTCCCATGGAGGTATGTAAATGATCATTGTAGCATCGGACAGCCCTCTGCATGAGGAAGCAGGGGAAAAATAATTAATATTTTAGGAGTTCAGTTGCGTTAATTAGGTATTAACCGATTTCAGTTTCCCTATGTTAATTTAAACCTAAGATAGAAACCGACCTAATGAAATAACCTGTCGCTTATTCCCAAAATTCCGGGACGCATCAGTGTTAATTGAACTACCGAACTTCGACCCGACCAATAGGTGAGTATACAAAAATGGGGGTGTCTTCCGTTTTTCCTGCATCTCGTTTCCCCTTAGATACCGCTAATCACTTGTGCTTGCGTTACCATTTGAGAAATCGATACCCGTGTCTGTGTACTGTAATTCTATTCTGTTTCAGTTGTTTCCTTGAACGTAACCGCCTCCGCCATTACTGCCGATCCTTGACTAGAAGCAAGGTTGTAAATCTTTTGGGGCCGTCTGAGAAAAATCCGGAGTGACCGCCAACTACTGCCATTTATTATTTATTGCCGTTAGTAAATTAGATAACCACCTTTATAATTGATGTTAATAATTCCATTCTAATTTTGGATTTTACTAATTTTTATTTATTCATTTACATGCAACCTATTTGCGCGGACTAACGAACATCGTCGCACATTTACATTACCCCACCTTGCCCCCACTACCACATTTTAAAGAAATTAAGCTAACAAGTATATAATTATTATTTATTTATTTATTTTTTAAAGTGCAGCTGCTAAGGCTATTATCGGCACATAGACTACACTTTCATCTTAAATTTTATTAAAAATATTTATCCGCTTAATAAAGTAGCGAAAACCGAAAGAGACACCAAAACCCGACTAGGTACGACTACCTATCCCGAATTAGGACATATCTCAAATTGCAACCACTAAAAGATTTGAACTACGAGCAGTGGGTTTGTTTTATATCCTCTTCTCGACCTTAACCACCCCCACAAGAGGATCATTCCGGTTTAACACATACAAACTGGACCCACGTTCCGATTGTTGTCTATTATTACATTACAACTGTCGATCTTCAGCTATTTAACTCTCCATACGAAGTTTTGTGTTTTTACAAATTAAAATTATTCTTATCAAACCGTACAATAAACCATACGAACTTATCAACGACCCTACGTTTATGCTAGAAGAGAAAACTACAGCGAACTACCACAAGAACAATTTTTAACAGACGCAACTGTTGCTACAGTTTATCAAACTAATAAATAACCAAGTACTCACCTGAACTGCAAGAATAATCGACTTGCTTGTCACTGTAATCGTCTTCGTCCTCGTCTTCTTCTTCGTCTTCTTCCGATTCGTCTTCATCGACTACTTCTTCTTCTTCCGCAACCTCTACTTCATGAATCATGGGTTCGCTATGGAACAGACAAACACAGTAAGTATCGTCAAAATTGAAACACAAATTTGGCACGAATTGGTAGGGTTGATGTTTTGTTTTAAAAAAGTTTTTCTTCGGGAAATAATTGGAGTGAAGTGGGGGGCGCGTAAGACACAAACGATTAAAGGCCGTGTGTAACAGACATTCAATAGCTATAAGCTGTTTAATGCAATAAGGGTTAGGGAAATCCACAGCAAAATTGTTCATACGTTCCATTTTTGTGTGACTGCCCTTCTGTAACACACCGTTCGCGAAATATTAGAACTTAAACTTTTGACACCAACTATAGATTTGCCTGGTCCAGACGTTTCAATCCTCCTTTCTTTCAGTCTTCGACACTCCGTTCTTGAGATATTCGCACTTTTTTACTTTACGAAATTCAGACATTTCATTTTCCTTTCGTTTACCTTCATCCAACATTTCGTACTGAAAATATTCGCACTTACAGTTTTCACATGACTTAATAGATATATCTCATCCAGGCATTCAATTTTCCCTTGGTGAGTACGTGAGATATGAGGAATTATAACCGATATCAATAAGGTGTCGAAAAAGAGTTATCTGAATATGTGAGAACACAGCGCAATGGCAGAGAGTGAGAGTGGGGCTAAGACTGAGAGTGAGTCTTCGAGAATTTGACGCAAGTTTTGAATGAGGTTCAACTGTACCACAGCAAAAGCCATCCAGTTTTCAATTTTTCTTGGAGAGAGCCTTTTTCAATGGAGGGCCGAGCATTTGTGACGTGCACAATTTATTCTTACTTGTTCCGTTTGTATTGGGTAATTGTTTAACGTTTAAACAAAAATGTCCAACTGTTCAAGAAAAACACTTCGTGATTTTATTTTGGGCATCAAGAAATACAAAAACAAATTAGGGGATCTTGGGAGATGTTTTCCTCTTTTTATAGAAGTGTAATTGAACTACATATTTGTGGATTCCTGATATCCTACTGACAGTAAAAGCGGTTTCTACTTACGGGTGCGGTTTATATGGAATTTTCAGTGAAGATACGGAAGGCTGCTGTACCTCGGTTTCTGTACCATTAATTTGAGAGTAATCAGCACATTCCTTCGGTTCTTCAATCCTAGTTTCTTCTTTTTTTTCGTCATCTGGTGCTTTCTCTTGAACCTGCCAAACGAAATAAATAGTCAATCCATCATTTTGATTTTGCGTTTCCATAGTGGACAAGATAACTCTAAGCGAAATGTATATCAAAGTTAATGATAACATTCACTCAAGTGTTTCGTGAGTTATGGAAACAAGTCTGTAGTATAAATTGCAGATTTCACAGCTTCCGCCCATAAGTATTTAGGCGTTTGAAGTACATGATAGAACATAATACAATTTTTATATTTTACTCAATTAGGTAGGTCCCTACTTACTAAAAGGCAAACAATAACTTACCAGCAAAAGTAAAGATTGTAGGGTAAGAAGTACTGGTTTAGTTGAATTCTGAGTAGCTTTAAAGACTGACTCTTGATTAGCTTCTATCTCCACATCTCCAATCTTCAGTACGCGATCACCAACCTAGGTGTAAATGAAAATGTCATTAACAATTGCATGGTCACACGTTGTTTTGATAAGCACCTTACACTTTAGGCATTGCATTGTTTTTATCAGAAAATGTAGAAGGCTCCATTTTGCGCCGACCTAATATTAGAACAACATTACTGGTTTGGCACAAGACAAACATTTTTTCGAGAATTGATTATACATAAAAATAGTCGAACTCGAATGACATTAATTGCTAGTTTCATTCATAAATTAAACTCGCGCTCTCTAAGTAGGTACGCAATTTTCTCCTTTGAAAGCTTTATTGTAGAAGGCGATTACGTGTCGTTTTTTAAGCAAAATACATTTCTACATTCTTCTACATTTCTAAATCAAAAACTTTCTTTTTTCAATCAAGGACCTAAAAAAATGATGTGACAGTGGATACAGGTCTTAGCCTGTAGCTCAATTCAAAACTTAACGACCGACGCCATTTAGTTTCTGCGAAAAAAAATTGAAAACCAGTCAAACTTTGAAGATAGATGCCACTGGAATACAGCACTCAACTAGTGAGCAGTGAAGTATATTTTGACGATATATTAGTAACCAGAGAGAATGTACTATTCATTAATCATATTGTAGCGAATTTTCTAGAGCGATATCGAGGCGCCATCAAGTCGCCACCAACTCGAAGATTCACCAATTGACCATACTTTCTATGAAATATTATACGCTGACCAGAGTCTTCTCTAGAATCTTTTTGTTTGCTATGTAAGCAAGTCTAAACATCGATGCCGAAGTGATAAATAGTGAAATTCGCGCTCGTGTAATAAACATGAGTGCAAGCAAGTAATAAATAATAACTCGCTGTTATAAATAAATCTATTAAGACATTTTTAATTTAAGTTTTCGTTAATAGTGTTAGTTTCTGTGCAGATAAATAATTAGTTTTAACACAAGTAAATGGTGTAATTAAATTTACGTTTCAATATGATACATTTCGGGACTACTACCAGTTCATTGCAAGACGTCGTCGTGCGAACCCTAATTCCGATGCGTCCGTATTAATTAAGGATGAGGTCACTGTTCATCAAGGTGGTTATGTTAATGTTAAGGAAGATTCGCGAATGGAGAGACAAGAACCTCTTTGCAGTTCCTATGGGAAGCCAACCCCTACTGGTATGCAGCACTCCTTATCAGAAAGAATAGCACTATGAGAAAAAACTACGGAATGCACTGTATACCTACAGTAATTGTGATGTCATGGACTTTGACCGTTTTATGCAGATATCCGGAACATGGGTTACTTGAGTATTAAGCTTGACAGAAAGTCGGCGTAGACTCGTAGAGTATTGTTTTTTGATTGGTCGAGTAACGTGTTAACATAAGTTTTTTTTTAAGTGTAATTTACGGATATCTGTTTATTGAAGTATGGCGTGCTCCAAGCTTTTATTTTAAATACCGTTATATTGAATTGTTCGTTAGTGATACTGATACTGTACATGTGCTTTTATATTATTTTATTAAGTATTACGTTCACGCACCCATATATGGGTAGGTAAAGTATTGTCATACTAAATGTCCGTCGTTGTTCGGCAATAACTCAAAATTGAATGGGGCAAATTGTGTATTTTTTGCAGATGTACTACGTGCCCGTTGGAGTCGACATATATTTAGACCGGCAGGCCGTATCCTTCTACGCATGCGCAGAACTACTCAAATACAATTTACAGGGTGTTCCATTTAAAAAAATGCAATTTTGGCGTGACACGTACTCTTTATGACTAACCATGTATAATTAAAATTACTACTGCCTAGTAGACAATAGAAACTTTTGTATAAAACTTTTTTCGATATCTTGTACATTTTTCCCGATAATTCGTTTATTCCAGACTTGTCATCAGCGACCCTCTAACTACAATCTAGGTATATGTAAAATAGTCTCATATTTAATAAAGTAATGCTCATAAAATTAATTATTCCTTTCATGAAGTTATTTAGGTAATTTTGTTTTGTTATCCACTTCTGCCAATAACACTTGTAGATGGAAGCATCTTCAAATATTACTGCTTTCTCCGTTGTAGTCTTACCTGACAATCAACTTTGTCAATCAACGTTGGCGCAATGCTCTTAATAAAGACTCCAACAACAGATTGGGTTTCATTTCCAGGCGTTTTTATATTAATCTGAAACAAAAAAAATCGATTCAAATATAAGTGAAGTGTTAAGTGCGTATACAGGTAGGTACCTACTTAAAAATTTTAAAGCGTGCTAATTTATCACCAGGCACTGTACACGAATGTGCGATATTGTAATAAATTTTTTTGTTTATTGCTGTTTTTCTTTTATTTTAATAAGTTCAACGGCCACAGGTACACGGAGTCGATTTTTTCGATTTCCTGTTTTTTAGGAAGTTAGGGAAGTTATAACTTCGTTATGCCGCAAATTTGATCGACAATTTTTCAAACTTGGAAGCCATTTTTTAAATTTGCAATTGCACATTATACGTGTTACAAATCTTGGCAAATGAAACAGCAGTTTGAGTGTCTAAAAACTCGACCACCTAGACATTGTTTTGCATGTAAAGGTAGGTTTAAGCATAGCGGAATTATGCATTCTCTAGTAGTACCTAAATTTCGTAATTTTATTGATATTACACGGCAAAGATAATTATACTCGTATTATGCAAGTAAGATATTTTTTGACTTTTCATTTCCGAAATGATAATTTGATCGGACGGTTTTCTTTTCATTAGGCTCTAGAGTTACTTACATTCGTTTAAAGTTTCACCTTCATATAAGTATCAGTTTTAAAAATTAGTATGAATTACCTTTCCGATAATAAGACTAATCCCAAATTTTTCGTTATCCCTGCGATGCAATTTAACAATTTTACTTGAACTCCACACCATTTCCATCATTTTTGCAAATGGGGCACGATTTATTATCTACAGTAAACGATTACGAGCGCGATATCTAAAGCATCCAAGGCTTCGTCTGATTTAGCACGTATCCTTCGAACATTGAGGAAACTAAACAGTTGTATGGCTTTAATCCAATAAAATGTGAGGCCCCATAACAGAATAGGTACCTACGCGGCCATTATAAGAAAATAACGTGTACCTGCATATAAAATAATTAAAAATATATAGGTAAGATATAGGTAGGTACTCTTTTTGGAGAGCGCTCTAAGTTCAAAATGAAAACCGGTACTGCATCGCTTCGAAGTTTATGTCGTACCATTGAATATAGAGATTTATTATTCAATGGTCGTACCTACCTACTGAATTAATATAGGGTGAAACAGCAACATTATTACGGTTAGTACATTTTTGGAAAGCGCCGTACATGGGACATTTTATGTTCAAGGGGGTAAATTTTCACGATAAAACTCACTTATTAATTGCTTCAGTTTTAAGTATAAGGAGGAATAGGGCAATAAGTGACATGATACAGCAAGACACGCCTATAAAGGGATCTAGAAACAATATACGAATAATCGGATACGATTTTCAGTATATAGGTGAATTTTCTGCCTCTCAGCTCGTATTCGGAAACAAGACTTTTAACCCGGCTCATATTCAATAGCACTGATCCTTGAACTAGTAGAAATCGGTTGGCGAAGGTTTGACATCGCTGTCTCTTTTCGTTCTCGAGTTAGACGTGGACAGACAGACGGACAAAACCATCACATAAGAAGAATATTTTTCTGTCGAAAAGTTCCTCTAAAAAGTAACCATGCATAATACTTGCAATTTAAAGTTTAGCGGGTTCAAAATAGTTCCGTTTCATTCTCAATGCTCTACCCTCTACGTTACGTTTTATTTTACATCCTACAGTTCTACGTTTGTAAGTACAAGGGTAAGATCATTATACAATGTAGGTATACCTTGAGATATCCGGACAAAGGATTGTCAGCCCACCACTTTTCAGAAATCCGGTAACACGTAGGTAATTTCACTTGCCAACACCGCAGTCCTTTTGAATGATTATTGATCTAAGGGATCAATAAGAAATCATCTTACGAGTCCTGCTAACGTTCAAAATGAGTAGTTCAACTTTATTTATTTTGTTTAGCGTAACACAACGAAGTTGAGGTAACGCTTATGTGCTCCATTTTCCGTCGTCTGTCTGTCTGTTTGTCCGTCTGTTCCATCGAGAGCTTGGCTCCTGGGCCACCTAGAGACTTCGGGTTTTCGCTAATTGATAGCTGCTATGGTGTATATTTGCTCATTGCTCATCATTTACAGTTGTGTTACGCGGAAATACCCACGAAAATTTTGCGTATTGGTTTTCCTAATTGTTGAAATATAGGTAGGTACCTACTACCACAGATCTTGTTTAGATCTGTGCTACTACGACGAAGAAACTACTAAGAAGGAACAATGCGCGACGCATGCGGCCCATAACAATCTAACACGAAAATGTTAATATAGTACCTACCTTCTTAATTACTTATTAGATATGCTTACACAGTGTGTTCATATTATGGTTCTTCCATTAAAAGGCAATTATATTATTATTATTATGGTCGGTGTCTCTTGTGAGAACTCAGGTCTAGCCTGGTTAACTAATCGCACGGATTAAAATCAAGTAACGATTAGTCTTTGTGTCTGTACGTCGCTCGTCTGGTGAAGTTATGTCGGGTCCTAAAAAAATAAAAAATAACAAATAAAATAAAATAAAAAATTCACACACGCACATTGGAAATCTAGGGATATTAGCCAGGTTGCGGACAGCATTTTCCGTTATGTTAGACGGCCATTTTTCCTTATAATATAAGTTTATAAGTATAAAACATTTTTATAGCAAAGTTAAGTTGCGGTGTGTGCTGGGCGTGTTCAATTTTGCTTATAAGTTTGAAGGAGTCTTAACCTCACTTTTATTTTACATTGTGTTAAAATGTCCAAAGTTGGTGAAAATGAACTCCTTTTTTTAGAAGTTGATGACATTGAAAGTATCCTTATTTATAAAGCCTTCCTTCCTACTATGCTCTTAGACAAAAAGAAAAGAACTACCGCCAACATAAACACTGCACAATTGTAGGTTAGCAGGAAAATGTTATTTTTATGAGTGATTACGTACTGCGCAGTGACACATTATAAGAACTTCATTTTCATTGGTTCCGCTATTTATAAATATATCGTACAAAAAGCCCTCATACCGTAAATTATTTCTACAAAAATTTATATTTCTTATGTTATAAGAAAAAATGGCCGTCTAACATAACGGAAAATGATGTCCGCAACCTGGCTAGTATGTAATTCATACTTACCAACATAGCTATTGATGGGCACAATAGCCAACGCTATCAGGAAAGAGGAAAACAAAAATAATTATAATAATTCCTGTAAGTTTAGCAATTTTATTAAATGGAGTTTATTGTGTAAGTGTTTCTTTGGTTTTGCGTTTGGGTTGAATACGAGTGGGTTGTGATAAGTGGTGTGTTTCTGATTATTATTATTATGCATTATAAATGCCGAGCGAGTATAAATTATCACTTCGTCAGTTACTTGTTATGAGTTGTTCGGTGAAGTGGTTAGGTACCTCTATTTTTTCAATTTAGAGAACAAATAAAAGGATTCATTGACAATAATTACAATTTTTTCACTTTTGGTTTGACTGGAAACAACCTAAATTTTGTTAACATACTTTTTTAACTATTTTTATTATATTTTTACTATTTAAATCTTTAAGTTTTATGTTTTTTTACTGCGTTTACGTGGGCCTTTTTTGTCAGTGTAACAAAACTGGATCACTAACACTTAAGAGAGTATTTGTTTAAAAAAGAAAAAGTCTTAACCATATACCAATGTGAATTAATGTCTGTTAAGTTTGCAAGAATATAATGCTTAAAATCCGGTTTTACCCAATTTTTGTAATTATACCTACTATAGCGTTTATATCAAGGTAGTGACGAAGAAACTCCGAAGCAAAGACGACAATGCGCGGCGAAATACGGCCCATCCCACAGGAATCCCCGCCGTAAACCTTACACTTCCACGTTGCCATTTTAGATAGTGTATGGTTGGTTGCCTAAGTGGTAGTAAGCTTCCGATTATCATTACTTTAGTTGGCGATCGTACAAGAGTAATGTACGTTTATACATGGTAATGTAGTAAATAAATACTGGGACCCTCAGATCACTCAGTAGAGATCTTTGATGTAATAGTATACTAACCCGAATGCAGCACTGTCCGCATGGTTGCCTACATACGTGTTCGTTCTGTGGATCGAAGATCTCGCATGCACATGAAATTAATTAATTAATATAGATTAGTTTCGTTTTGTGGAATTGCGATAATTTTGCGATAATTTTTATTGCTTTAATTTCATTTTTTAGAGGCGGGTACAGCTTGTATTTATATTCAAAAGTTATTCTAAAATAAAATAAAAAATCAAACTCTACACTTTGTATCTATAGCTAGACTGTGCCTAGGCTATGAAAGATGTACTCATTACTAGTGAAACGAAATGTTAGAAACATTCATATACAGTGTGTTCTACAAAAAGGGCCCACGGTTATAACGATGTTACGCGCACTGGCAAAATGTTCCATCCAAAAGTTCTCATGCTTTCAAGTACATCAGTTCTCACTAAGCGGCGCGACCAAGGGCGCGACGTAGCGGCGAATTAGCGAGCATCGCAAGTCACGGTTCCAAATCGTTGTATGCAGACGCGTCGCCAAATGAGAATCGACCAAAACATAACTGACACCGCGCATCCTAACATCAGCACACACGGCATTCTTATTTTCATACAAGTTTTCTGAATAGCAAATCACGAATTTCTCCATTTTTCTTTGTATATCAACCACAGTCCACATGCATATTTTATGTTGTCATACAGCAAATTGACTGATCTTTTCAAATATCGTTAAAAAATTCGCATTGCATTTGAAAAAAAAGTTGCATCGATTTCCGGTTTAACAGGAAGTGATGCCTGGAGTTTCAATATAGAGATTGGATGCCACATTTTTCGTAAAATCATAATTAAAGCCGCTATAGCCTTGGGACCTTTTTGTTAAACAGACTGTATACCCAGGAGATATCTTATGAGCAGTTTTTGTGCTGTGTGGTTACAAAGAGTATACTATTGGGTACGCTTTGATCTAAACCTAAGCCTGCCTTCAATGTCCCTGAAATTCCAAAACAATTGAATTAGACCTCTGAATCCTCGAACTGCAGCAGGCTCCCGTTACAAATTGCACTCGATCAGAGATGTTGGAACAATTTTCTCAAGCAATGTGTTTTCGTGAATTTTGTGATTATAGTTTTCTTGGAACATTACAATTACACGTCATAGCGACTGAACATTACCTATTGATTTAAATCTAACCGTAAAGTTAGCGTCATTTCTTTAGTGAGATTCTGTGACTTTTTATTTAGTTTAGTTTGGCTGGAGCATGGTATGCGATGCTTTGCAGTATGCAGGTGTAATAGAACTGACAAGACAACAAGGTATTTTATGTTTATACAAAATATAGGTAATTTAATATAAGTACATCAAGGTTAACTGGAGATCACAAGACAATCGTAAACACGTCATAATTACGATCACTTTTAATTTCCCGCCAATTCTCTGTAATTGGCACTCGCTAACTTCGGATCGTTGTTTTAGTGCCAGTGGTGAGTGGTTAACTTCGCAGTGTTAGCGAATGGGACGCCATAATCCGCTTTGTAGTTGTTTTCATTAATTATCACACTTTTCCGAATATGAGTGATTATACCGCCGTTGCACCGCCTCAACAATCGTTTAATCAGTCTTCGGCATTTGCAGCTGCAGTCCAACGTGCAAAACAGGTAATCTTTTTGTTACATTAACTCTCATGTCAATGCCTAAACTTGTTTTTACTTCAAACATGCCTTATTCTTTAAACAAAAAACTTACCCTTACAATTACGCTTTAATGCATACCACAACAGATTGCTGCCAAAATTAACCCAGGAAGCGCTCCAACGGACCGACCAAAACGGCCTTTGGAAGATGGTTTAGGTAAAGTATTAGTTGACGATTGCCATCCCGAGTCGCATGTTAACGATGTTCGTGCTTATAGAGCCGGAACCAAAGAAGTTACCGTCCGTAGTTGCTTCCAGTCCGCCAGTTCCGCCGCAACCGCAAGTACCCATACAGGTACCAAATCGTCTACCGCCACCACAGAATCAACCGAATATACCAAGTGGACCGCCTAATTTAGGTGTTCCGCCCGGAATGGGTGGCCCCTCTGGTCCTCAATTCAATGAAGATATCAAAGTTCCAGACAAAATGGTTGGATTAAGTATGTATAATTTGCTGTTTTTGATTGTTCTTGCGATAATTGTACTATACAGTATAGTATGCATACTGTTGAAATTTGGTGCATGTTCAAAACCATGCAATTAGAATGGCTTGTTCACAGTATACAGGGCAGGTCATTAAATATATAATTTGCTCTAGAATAAAATACCAACATTTCTAAGATGAAAAACTTCTATACCTACAATAATAATTAAGAGATTCTCCTTCTAAACACACTCTAAAATTGGTAAAATCAAATTATTTATACATGGTTGAAGATAAATAAATTTTCTCCAAGACTCCAACTAAAAGAGATTGGCATTTTGTTAATAGAAAATGTTCTAGTACATAAAATGATAAAAGAATATTTTATTCAAACTTGCCCATTGCTAGCTATACATTTTTCCCCACCCGTTTGACAGTTTGTAATTACCATGCCCTAAGCGCTTGTTGAATCCAGCAAGCTTAGTTGGGGTAGATGTTGATTTGAAATAAGAACAAGTGCTTTCACGGTTTCCTTTATTGTAGCACCTTACACTGATTACACTAAGTGGACTGTATTTACCAACTACGCTTACTGAACTAAACTTAAGCCTAGAAAAACATTAATATATATCGTAAGGTGGTTAGGGAGTCCTTTTCCCAAAATGGGCGGATATTGCCGCTCGTTAATCATGGCTCACTTCTAATTCTCCATGTCGAATTATGAGTTCGCTCCCTAACAGCGCTGCTGTTAGTACATGTGGAACCCATTTACTGATGATTTTTTCCATGATCTTAGAAAATCGTGTCACAAGGGTGCCTGTTATCTTTAGCGTGGCTATGTCTTTGTTAACTACATTGCTCATTATTGTAGACGATGCATTTACATGTCCACGATTGTATGTTGCCATAACCTGCATGGTTATTTCTACATCTCGAATATTTCTGGTTCTTGTTGACTGTGCCTCTGTGGTGCCTGTTTAAACATATAGCATGTTTTCTCCTAAATTTCCCTTCTAAAATAAAGAGAAAGGGCTCAAGTGTTCTGGTGTCCTGTGTTATGCCAACAGTGCCACCAGAACTGATTTACAAGCACCAACAACCCATTCGTGAGCATGATCAGGATCAACTTGACTAAAAATCTTGGTCCTTAAAACTGTAATGGAGCAATTAGTTATTTATTACGTATATAAAATGGGTATACAGAAGAAGAAAAGGTAGATATAGTTCGCTTATTTAAAAAAAAATTTTTTTAAATTATTTTATATTACAAAAAAAATAGCATATTATATATTTTCAAAATTCGAAAGAAAAGGTTATTCACTTTTTGAAAATTCTACAGGGCGTTCCATTAAAAATTTACCAAGTTTGTATTTTTTGATAATTTTTCGATATTCATTTGTTTTTTTACTTTATATTTTCTATCAGTTTATGATAAACCCCACAACTTTTGTTGATCTCTGTAACGGTGAGAGATACAGTGTGATTAATTAAATAGGGATAAAGTTGCTCCTTTAGTGACTAAAAAAACATCTTTGAAAATAACTGAGATCGCCGAAAAACTGGAAATGTGCAAAATTTTGTTTTCATTTTGCCCAGCTGAACGGTCAGAGATGGATGATTCCTGTTAGCACCTTCTATGGGCAATTTTTTTTTGGAGAATCTGAATCTATGATCAGAATTTACATAACACGCTAGATGTAGAAGCTACAGGGTACAACTTTCTTATTTCTTATGGACACCTTATTGGATTTTTACGGTACGAGGTCAAAAAAAGAAATTCATTTGAACTCATAGCCATGTTGATTGAACAAGATCTAGTTACCAGTGGATGTTTTGTTAACAAATGAATGTAAAACATTTGATTTTGAAATGTTGCTTGTTGTTATGTAAAAGTATCTCATTTTGTAAAAGTCCAATATGGTAGTTTCTACAAAAGCTGATAAGAGATTCAGATTATACGAAAAAAAAGTGCCCATAGAAGCCGTTAGCTAGGGAAACTGGAAACCAAATTTGACATTTTCAGTTTCTCGGTGAGATCTGAGTTATTTTCAAAAATTTTAAATGTGTTTTTCGAGTTACAAAAAAGGGCAACTTTGCCCCCATTTAACCTACAATGTTATGAAGACCTGATGGTAGGCTACGAATTTGAACCACCCTGTATACCTGATTTGGATATGATCTTCCTTTATGTTTTGTGGAAAAAATCAAAAGTGTTGTTAACTCCACAAAGACAATATGTTAACTTGGTAATATTACATTTACAGTTATTGGTCGTGGCGGAGAACAAATCACAAGGCTACAATCGGAATCTGGATGTAAAATTCAAATGGCGCCCGACTCTGGGGGTCTTCCGGAGAGAATATGTTCATTGTCCGGTAATCGAGAAGCCATCAACCATGCAAAAGAGCTTATCATGAACATCGTTCAGCAGAGGGGTCGCACTGAAGGACTAGGCGGAATGGATCTAGGAAATCTTCAAATGCCCCCCCAAAACAGTTATTCTGGTAATTCTTACTTTAGTGCCCTTCATCTTTACATTTTCTAAATATCGTTGTACCTAATTTCATCTCTCTTATGTAAGGTCAAGGGATGAATAACTCCAATCAAAATTCAAGTGGTCCTAGGAATTTTGTCGAAATCATGATTCCTGGACCTAAAGTCGGTTTAATCATTGGCAAGGGCGGGGAAACGATTAAACAGTTGCAGGAAAAGAGCGGCGCAAAAATGATCATAATACAGGATGGTCCCAACCCGGAACTTGAGAAGCCACTTCGTATTAACGGCGATCCAAGTAAAGTCGAGTACGCAAAGCAGCTTGTTTACGAATTGATAGCCGAAAAGGAAATGCAGGCGTATAATCGGAGAGGTGGAGGTGGAGGTGGTGGTGGAGGCGGCGGCGGAGGTAACAACCGAAATCAGGATGATCGACAACAGTACAACGATTATGGAAATAATGAAGTTGAAGTAAGTGAAAGTACTGTCGTAGTGAATATTCTTTAAGTTATTTTACTGACAGGTGTTAGTTCCACGGGCCGCTGTGGGTGTGGTCATCGGAAAGGGTGGTGACATGATCAAAAAAATTCAGGCCGAGACTGGGGCCAGAGTACAATTTCAACAAGCGAAAGAAGAAGGTCCCGGTGAACGCCGTTGCTATCTTTCTGGTAGACCACAGAATGTTGAGCAGGTATATTAGTAACATTGATTACATCTCGTGCAACGTTTTTAAATTACTCAAATAGAAGCAATTCTAAAGGTTTACAAATCACATTGAAGTCACAAAATATAAATGAATTGATTTTAGTTTTTGCTTATAAGATGGTTTTACTTTGATTACTTCATTTTCACTGGAAATCAAATCTTATCAAACGTTCACTATATTTTCATAGGCGCATAGGAACTATTTTTATTTTATTTCAAGGTTTATGCAGTAAAGATAGCCGAAGTGTAAATTGAAATTTTCTGTTTAGCATCCCCACATTGCCGAAATGCATTGCAATGAATATGCAAATACAGTCAAAAATTAACGGAATAACAAATTTATAGGGCTCAAACATTACTAATACGTGCTCCCAATTAAAAGAATATATATTTGCGTATCTATGTACTTGTATGTGAAGGTAAGTAATGCTTTAAAACTGAAATTATACTGACAGAGATGATACTACAATAAAGACTTAAATTTCTATATCGACCTCAGTTGGACTTGTTATGTATTGTTCGGTATAATAGTATTCAATTGTTACAGAATATTTCTAGCATACAATTTTGTTACATTCACTTTGAGCACTTGCAACAAAATTAGCAGTAGTTAAGCACAGTAAGCTTAGGTAAAGTAGAGCTGGGTTGGGGTGATTAATGGGTTCTCTTCTATTACTAGTCAACAAAGCACGAATAAATCAGTAAACCGGATAGGCGCCACTTAAAAAGAGAGAAAATACCTACTGAGGGAGAACAAGTCAGACTAATAAATCCTTGTTCTGTCCTTAGGTAAAAGCTAAAAGGGTAAATTGAATGGGTTGAAAGTAAACAATAACTCTAGTCGAAGAATAACTGAAAACAATGGCACTTGTAACAGATGTTACAAATTTACCTTTTCTCCTACTTCTGGTTAATGAAATAGGGTGTGGTTCTTGTTGTGTAATTATATTGATATACCTCGGCTATTGGTCGGTTAATAATTCTATTCTGGCCTCAAGGATAAGAGTAAAGGGATAAACAATAACTCGATAATCTTTATTAAAGTTTAAATCGGTTTTTATTATTTTTAAGAATTGCCTTAGCTGTAAGAGAAGACATTTTAGTAAATGGGGTTGATGCGAAACAATCCTGTAAGGTAAATGGTTTTGCAAAAACATACTTTGCACTGATAGGAAATATTAATTGGTAGCTAGTGTCTTTATCAATCCACTTAGGAAATATTAAACTGTATTTATAAATGAACTGAATGATCGTTAGATACTAAAAAAAACTTAATTATATTTTTTCAAACTACAATAAAAAACTAAGCGAATTACAATACGTAAATATGTTAAGAAATGTACACATTGTATTGAGTAGCATTTTTTATTATGAATTGTGCAGCAAATAAAAACAAAAGATCCTTTTAACAGAATGGTCCACTCGCGCACAAGGCGCACAGCTTCAGGAAACTTCACTTCTTCTTTAATAAACTGAACTTGATGGGCTTCATAAGATGAAAAAAATTTTCGGTTGCTGCTCGGACAGTTTCACTAAGCAGACAAGTGCTTTGTTTACTCACACACGACCTAACTTTTTCTGAAGCAGGACAAACCGTTTTAAATACTTTCCACAAACTTTTGCCACTTCACTGGACCATAACTTAAACCTTTTATTAACATTGCTTAACTTCTGCACAGTTTATTTGAAACCGACGAACTGCGTCTTCAACAAAACAACTAGGGCAGATTTTTAGCGTCAACAAATTTACACGCTCTTTAACCGTCGCGAAAACTAACAGCTATATAGCTGCAGCCTCGTTTTTAGAGATTCTTCCAAAATTAAAAAATAATGGCGCAGAAACTAGTTTTGAAGCGAATGCAAATATACTTGGCAATAGTTATTTTTGAAGTGCTCATAACTGTTCCTCACATCACGTTTAGAGTGGATGTTTTAATTTATAATTGCGCAATCGCGCAGTTTCAAATTTACCGACGCGCATCTCACCATCTTTTAGTCGTGGAACGATCTCTACGTTGTTTTCCGCGTCCACACTGACGCCGAAAATACCGCGCACGTCATTAAAAATATGCACAATATGCATCTAAATAAATAATTTACAAACGCGATATAATTTAAACAAGAAAATAATGCGCAATTAAAAAACACTTCTAAAAGGAAACATAGACACCGAGATAATAAATTCAAGTAGAATAAACCAACTCTGTAGTTATTCGTAAAATCCCCCACATGTTAGTAAATTGAAATATTCTCATATAAGGGTGTTTTGACCGAAATACCGTCTACATGCCGTTATTTACACAACAATAGGGTATCTTGTTTTTACTATCGGCGGTTGAAATACGACCCAACAGATTAAAGCAATGTAATTCTACACTATTCCCCACTCCTGGAAAATAAATATGTCCAGAAGTTTCGGTTTCTATTAATGAGGCACCCTGTAGTTGGATTCATTTATATACAGCATTCATTATGTCTGGTAGATTCCATGGCGAAAAACAAGTGCTTCATTAGAAGTTTTTGTTTTATTCGAAAAGTGATACAAACGTAAAATTAAAAAAACTACAAATTACATAATTTTTGAAAAACTAATCATTTTAATTAAGTCTACAGTATTTGTTTGAATATTTCTTATATGAGCACACCAATTATTACAAAAATTGCTTCATATATAAAGGAGGTAATCGACTTTTTACCCTGCGAGTGCTTTCCAAACTCATGGATAAATTACTGTAAGTACCTTTTTATAGCACTATTAACAAGCCAGCGTTGATGCCCCGCCTCTTTTTCCTCATATTCTTTATCAAAAATCTACAGGGGGTTTCCAAATATTCAGCAAAAACTAAAAATTCTGATTTTCAAAAGATTGAAATATCGTCGCCATCTTGTCAAAAATTTAATAAAATGTGGTAGTTTCTGTATTAGCGACTACAGTCAATGAAATAGCTTTAGCGAATTTTTTCTAGGTCTACTAGTTTTTTTTTGCAATCATAGACGACTATATTTCTTATGCGTAAAAAGAGATGTTCAATAAAATTGCAAAAAAATAGGAGGCTTAGAAAAAAAGTCGTCATTGAATTGAACGTAATCGCTAACACAAAAGTACAAAATTTTATTAAATTTGACTTTTTGTGCTAGTATTCTGTGATACAAAATAAATACCGCATTTCTGTCTACTGTAGTATCATCTTTGTTATTAAGGATAATAGATATTTAATAAAAGTATGAAATATAAAATTTTCAAGGGATTATCCCTCAATATAATATTTATGTCGCTCTGAAACCTAACTGATAAAATGTGGGTCATTCTCTCATTCGTTCAACCTTTTCAGCCGTAATGTCCAAAACAGAATTGACTTTGTATGGGAATCTGGGTAGGCTTTTTGAAATGGAAATTCTTTTTCAATTGCACTAATTTACTGTGTTTAAGTAACAGCACCACTTTTTTTCCATATCATCCCAAAGGATTTCAATATCAAAAAGGCCTTTTGCGTTATTAGCTAATAATTCTTCTTTCTTCTCTAATTTATGCAGATAGAAAATGATGCTATATTTTCCAATGGTTAATCAAGATCTAGTCCTGTTCATATTTCTAAAATTATTTGTTTAACTAAGAATTGTGTAGTTAAATTAAATACCTCTCGGTTACCTCTTTTTCGCTCTTCTGTATACCTCTGAAGTTTTTCATTCGATTACATGATTCGTGTGGCAAATGTCAAATTCCATTTTGAAGTACATATTAAATTGATTTGAGTGTCAATCAATATATAAATTATTTTTCTATTATGTGTATGCCCATAAAACAACAATATATACAAAATGATGAAGATTAACTTTGTAGTGTATGTATACTACTTTTGTTAACGTAACATTTAGATTAAACGATTATAGTGCTTGGTTTAAAAGAAAGTAACTATTCGTGTGTGTTTATAAATTACAGTTCTTTGGTGTAAAATGGAAAATACACGCTAAATGTCACCTCCTTGGTAGCGATCAGACCTTCTTTGGCGACATGGATTTTGCTGTGAGAGTGAATCTGTAAACAGTAAGTGTTTACTTGGAGATCTTACCACCTTTTTTGAACATGTTTATATATGTACAAATATTGTGATCGTATATGGATTTATCAGTTGTACTAAACTGTCTATTGTGTCACATTCATCATTGCTCATCAGTATGTGTCTAAATTATTATGAAGTGGTAAATGCATCAAAATATTCTATTTGTGCTATTGATTGATTATATATCATTTGTCGGCAATGTTTTGTTTTAAATTAGCAGTTGGTAAGTTTGAAGAAAGCAATTTCCTTTACAACAACCACAGTAGGTACATTTCCGTTCTTGATATAATATGTATCTGAATGATGTTAGGTTTTTCCTGTACTGCATTCGCTTCTTTTACAGGTGTCAGTTTACTGCTCCAGATTCGAGTGGGATGCAATTTGTTCTGAATTTCATGCTGATTTATGTGGTCAATTTTTCTAGTTGAAATGTCTGTACATATTTTGTGAAAACTTACCAATGCTAATTCATTCATATAGGTATCATTAATTTTACTTCCAGTTAAGATAACCATGTTTATCATTAATTACGGCAATTTTAAAACAGGAACAGTGTATTAATCATATCGAGCATTACCCTGTCGAGGAATTAGTAAGTATTGTCCTTATTTCTAAATGAGAGTGAGTTGACCTACTTCGTAAATGGTTTTACCAACAGAATCGTCATCTGTCCATTTGTACTTCAAAATTGAAAGAAATTTGGGGGAATTTTATCACACTGTTAATTATTTTTGTATGTAGAATGAAGTGCCCACATTTTCCATTGCAACCTTTATACATGTAGCTAATTTCGCACAAAGAAGTTCTGAAGGTGACAAAACATTTACATACATGCTACAAATGGTCATGAAATAGTATTTTGAGACTGATCTTTTAATTTAAATAATGGTGTATTATATGCCACAGAACTAAAGTGTTTGTTGCACCATGTTCGTTTCAGGCAACAAGCACCTAAGAGATTGGCACATTTTTTCATCTCATGGTGCATACTGTATAATACGATACACTGTTATAATTGATTAACCTTAACGTATCAATTTTCTAGATAAAGAATTGTATCTGTGTATGTATATTATTATTATTATCGCGCCTTTTACTGTTATTAGTAGTCGGGTAGCCAACTTCGCTTTACTAATTTATAACACACTAACATTTCGTAACACTGAGAAAGTAAATGCAAGCTAATGAAAATGTATAAATGTGACCCAGTGAGATTAATGAAAGCTCGTTTTTCCAATGAAATTAGGGCATAATATTGTGATGAATTTATTATTGAAAATACATATTTTTTACATGACATGCAGTGAGTTTGGATGAATATTTTTACAAACTACTGTTGCATTCATATTGTTCCATTGCCCATGTTGTATCATTATACCTTTACGCCTTTTTGCACACCCACAAATCGTTTCGGTTCCCAAATCTCAAAAAACAATTATTTGTTGTGTTTTAAATCGTATTATATTTAGTACCCTTTGCTAATAGTGAAAAAAGTAGTACAGGTAGGTTACTGCCTTTCTACTTGCAAATACCTCAGGATGTTATCTTGATGTTCGCAAAGTTTATTTACCTTGGTATATAATATATTCTAATCCAGCTCACGGTCAGATGGTAATGACATACTGAGTTGGTTCGAAAACGTGTTCTAAAAGTTTTATACATAATCTGATTGGGCAAGTATGAATTTACTATCTTTAAATTCCTTGCACATACTGAATGTTCCTCTTTCTTATCTAAAGCATTACAGAAAAGACACTACTTGTTGAATAGACTTGTTATTTTTCAATGCACATGTTGCGAACTCATTAGAATCTGCATGCATTATACAGGCATACAGCACCAGGAATGTATTGTAGCGAATTTTCTAGAGTGATATCAAGTCGCCACCAAGTCGATAAAGTCTAATCATTGGCGATGAAAAATGTAGGCGAATGTGACTTATTCTTGAAATATGATATGCTGATTTGAGACTTCCCTAGATGCTTTTTGTTTGCTATGTAAGCAAATTGAATTCTGTTTAATTTTAGTCTCAACATCGATGCTGAAGTAATAAATGTGAAATTCGCGTTCATGTTATAAATGTGAGTACAGGTAAGTGATTAATAATAATTAACTCTTACAAATGATTCTATTTAAGGACCATTTTAATTTAGAATCTTGTTAGTGTTAATAATTTAATTTTATGTAAATAAATTGTGTAATTATACTCATCACTGCTAGACGACCTGATATACTACCGTGCATTGTTCCTGGAGTGCCCAATCATCATCCACAAGTGTCATGCGTTGCCCGTGTTGACGCCTACATGTAGTGATTGGTAAATTGGTAGCTATCCATCTTATAACGACTCAAAACGTGGTGAAATTGACCAAGTGGATTTATAAAGACACTAAACCTTCCCCATACTTCTTTTAATGTACATGTAGTGACTTAGATGGTAGTGTCCTGGGCATAACTTGCTCGCTGCTTCTCTTTAATCCCTCCTACTTTTCCCAGGTTATTGGTCACTGTACAATTTCTTTTTATGGATCCGTTTTTACCACATCACAAGCCCCATCGTTTCGTCCATTGCGGCTTTAACTGCTCCAATCTTTTCACTATTTCTTCTATAATTATTTCCATCTGTACTAATGATGTGCACATGAGCCACTCTTTTCCAATTTTTCTTGTCGTGCAAGTTTCAAAGCTTGTTGCTAACATCATCGATGAACGTTTGCATCGCCAATTGCTTTATAAATGTTTCTGGAACCGTGGGATATGTCAATCTGATCAACTGGGCTATGTTGGTTTTGAGTTTTTGCAGTGTATCCCAATTTTTGTTGCGCTCGGTTCTTAATTGAGCGTAATACGCGTGCTGCAAATGTTTATTTCGACATTGAACTTATAACAGTGATAAGATTTGCTCAAATTCTTGTGGCAGGTGTTGGGGGAGCCGTACGAAAAAATATCCAACCCATCTCCCATGTTATGCAACTATAAGGACAGTCCTTCCATTCCATAATCCATTTGTTTGTAGCGTCAGCGGCCTCAAACTGTCTCAAGCAAATTAATTATTTATGTTTACAGAAACTAACACTATTAACAAGAAACTAAATTAAGACGGTCCTTAAATAGATTGATTTACAACAGCTAACTATTATGACTTACTTGTATTCAAATTTATAACACGAGCGCGAAATTCATGTTGAGACTAAAATTAAATACAATTCAATTTGCTTATATAGCAAACAAGAAGCTTCTAGAGAAGTCTCTAATCAACATGTCATATTTCATGGAAAATGTTCGCTTTCATTCCTTATCGCCAGTGACTAATCCTTATCGACTTGGTGGCGACTTGATGGCGCCTTGATATCACTCTAGAAAATTTGCTACTATAGGAAACTATGACTTAAGAAAACATCAATGGTAAATAATGACAAATGTTTATGGTGTTTTTTTATTGATACTGTAAATATGCTTTTTTCAAATATTGAACAGCAAATAAGTCCATTTTGCTATCTACTATGCGGTAGAAGGCTATATGTAAGTGTTTCTTTTGGGTCTTTCAGATGGCTGAACTGAGGAGAGGAACTGTTTATAGCACTCTTTATTTTTATTTATGAACTTGATTGTTGTCACTTTTATTTACATATAAATCAGCATGAAATTCTTTTTTATATAATTTGTTTTATTTATTTTGTAGATAGCTCCTGACGAATTTCTTCGGCCATATAATATTTTATAAAAGAATATTCGCGTTAGATATTCAATTACTTGTGTGCCAAAATGATAATAAATTTACTAAGGGATTTAATAACTTTTTAAGTTGCTATATTATAAATGTGATTTCATTTGACTGTACTTATAAATTGTACCTTATTAAATTGTGTTGAGAAATGATGTGATTTTTATTCCTTGCATTGATGGTTTTAGGAACTACCTAAAACGCTGCTCGTTATGAAACCTTTTCTTATTTTGATTTCGTGATTACAGGCCCGTCAACGGATTGAAGAATTAATTGACAGTGTATGTAGACGCGAAGAAGGTGGGAATCGTGGGAGAGGACGAGACAGATTTGATAATCGTGGTAACCGCAATGGAAATCAAGAATATGGAGGAGGGGGCGGCGGTGGATGGGGCGAAGAGAGGCGCTCTCAACAGCAGCCACCTCAAGAAGTCACTTTTATTGTGCCCAGCTCAAAATGTGGCGTTATAATAGGAAGAGGTAAAGTGTAATGTGCCAAGCACACAGTTTGATTCTCATTATTAATAGGGGGCGAAACGATAAAGCAGATCAATCAGCAATCTGGGGCACATTGCGAGTTGGATAGAAGGTCTCAAAACCAACAGGAGAAGACCTTCATCATACGAGGCGATCCGGATCAAATTGAGACAGCTAAGCGGATCATAAGCGAAAAAGTACAAATACCCCTGAATTTCGTTTCTGCAGGAGTGAGTAACAATCTACCTACTGTAAGTGTACCAACTGCAGACCATTGTAATCAATAAAAATTGTGTAGGCGTACCCTGGAATGGCGCCACAAAATTATCCACCACAAAATTGGGGAGCGCCGGCTTTTCAACAGCAGTGGGGAGTCCAATCTGTGGGAAACGAAAATCCTCCGCAAACGTCCACTTCTGTGCAATTGAATCCGGTAACTGGTCAACCAGATTATTCACTTCAATGGGCAGAGTATTATAGATCCTTGGGAATGCTCAGGGAAGCTGAAGTAATCGAACAGCAGGTGAGTTGGTGACAATTCTGACTCCTTCATATTCGTGATGATCTTTAGGCAAAAACTAAAGGAGTAACAGCAGCCACATCTCAACCTGCACCAGCCCCTGTTGTTCCCGCAGTGACTGCAGCCGTTCCTAATCAAGTTACATCGAATTCGAATGGTTCTCAGCCAGACTACAGTGCCCAGTGGGCCGAGTATTACAGAAGCTTAGGCAAACATAAAGAAGCAGAAGCAATAGAATCGCAAATGAAAGCTAAGGTGTGTATTTAGCACCACCACATTTGAAATAAATTCGTCTGGTTCTCAAACTGATTTTTTGTTTTTGTTTCATAGGCTGCTGGTGCACCACCCTCACAACAAATGCAAACAGCTCCATCTGCCGTTCCCAATGCTACCGGACAGGCTCCACCAGGAAATGTCTACCAACAAAACTATGGTGGTTATCAAGCTGCCGGAGGTAACAATTGTGCGTTTTTTGAATGTGTATTAACACATAAAATTAAAGGGTATTATGGGGGTCAAACACAAAATACAAACCCCCCACCTACGATGCCACAAGGACAATACACCTTCTCAGGTTACGGTTATCCACAATCGAATAGCGGACAAGACAATTGAATATGATCAGTAAGTAAATTACATAAGTGAAAATGAATCATTACGCTCATTTTAAGATCTTATTTATGCATATTTGATGTTTTAAATTAGGGATGTGCCATTGCTGATGGTGTTGCAGCTTATACATTTGTAATGAATTTCAGTTTTTAGTGACAAAATATTTTTTAACTTAATTTGCACATACAGATATAATTTGAGAGTATTAGTGTATATGTTGGTTTTCAGATGCATCATATGATTAATTACAGATTTTAGCAGATACCGGATGTGAATTGTGAACAGCATATGTGGAGTTAATTCATGTACTAGTATTAAGAGTTTTATTTAATAGATTATTGAAATCTAAATAATAAGTTCTGTAACTATGGTATTTATAATTAATTGTATCTGCAATGTAGACTTAAGTTTTTTTTATTGTCCGTATTGTTGAGATAACAGTTTTTTTTTTAATTCTTAGAATTCTTGTTGTTCAACATACACTTTTAACGCTACTTTTTTTCTAATATATCAATACTTGGATGAAAGTAATTTATAACTGTGTATTTATTCCTCATTTCCGAAGGTTATTTTTCAGTATTTGGTGTATTGCACAGATATGTCCTTGGGAGTCCTACTGTAAGTTAATGTGATCATGCATACTGTTTTGCTACATGTTGTTTTTTTTTTTTTAACAAATTATTTTCTGTAGGTATATCGTGAGTGTGTGTAGTTCGGAGTCGATTTGCCGTAGCTGAAAAGAAGCAAATTCGAACTGAGTAAGAGGTAAGAATTTAGTTTAGAATTATATATTCAAATGCATATTTAATTTTAATACGACCCAGTATGAGCTTGTGTAACCTAATTTTACATTTTTGGTTCCGTGACACGTAAGACCGCTTACTGATCCTCGCAATGACATCTTTTATAACACGATTCATAACTGTAATCACTATAACACTTGAAAGTTTATTAAATCATGTGCACCTGTACATTTGAATAGTAATACGAGTTGCTGTAAAACATGTTTTTGTGTGTTATTAGAAAGAGAACAATATAATTGTGGAATAGGTAAAATTGACTGAAAGTGTTTGGTTTTATTTGAGTTACACTGTAAATTTTAGCTCTAGATTGGAGAATATAAATGTCACTTGAATTTCCCTAATGTATCGAAATGCATGTATTCGTTTATCTGCAGCGCAAAAATCTAGACGAGTGGCTTTCAACCTATGGTACATATTTGTGGTGGCACACCAATATTGGGAACACTGGTATAATGTTATAAACTGCCCGCCGCGCTGGCAACACTGATAGCGCAATGACCGTCGCCATTGCATGGGATATTATTACAGTATTTGCTTGATTTGATAAGTGACAACAAATAACTTTACATTATTTTTATAGTAAAGTCGTGGATAAATGGTGGTACTTAAAATTAGCAGTCAGTCAGGGCGAGGCATTCCACCATATCATCGGTTTTTTCACATCAGCTGTTGCAGCTTTTTCCTTGATTGTCATAAGTCTATAGGTTCTCACTACGAGTAAAAAATAAGGGTTCTCATCAATGATTTTATTTTAGATTTTATATTATCTACAGGAATCTCCAACCTTAAACATATTTCTTTTCAGACATCTTCTCTGAGAGTATCATTGTGTTTATGTTTTGGATCCCACAGCAATCGATGTTCTTTGTATACATCAATTAAAAGTAAACATTTGCTTTATTATATAAAAAAGGAACCACAATTGTTTATTGTTTCTAAAGCGATCGATTTCGGGTTTAACCACCCATCATCAGGCTATGCGTCAATTGTAAAAATTATTAAACCCGAAATCGATCGCTTTAGAAACAAACAATTGTGGTTCCTTTTTTATATAATAAAGCAAATCTCAACGAACCCCAAAAATGGAGAATTACATTACAAATAAAAGTAAACACTTTTCTTTGTCCCATTTTGATTTTCGTAGAGCGCAACGTACAAACAGAGCGAGTATTTATCACGAGGCGCCTTTGAGCACGATAAGAAACCGACTGCTTACGGCTCACCCTGGGGCTGCTTCAAGACGAGGCGGCTTCTGGCGCAAGTGAGGTATCTATTTCGCAAAGCACGCCACCGTGCGAAGTCGATACAGCTATAGATTACTCAAAAAGGTTGAGAACCGCTGATCTAGACCATATTTCAAAGGCCCCTAATATGTTATACTGAGTAAACCATTACATTTGCTTGCTTTATTCACAGATATCATTAGTCACATATTCGCCTTCTCTTGTATAATCTATGTATCATTATTTATAACTGTGCTTCCAATTTATTTTTGTTCTTTTACCCAGGGTTTTTCATTTGAATATTAAGTTACTGTCTCCAGTGAATATTTTGCCAGTGTGGTGCATCATATATCAACAAATGTTTATGGATAAGTATTAAATCTGCCTTCAGGAGTGGTAACTAACGGGCGATCAGAAATGAGTTGCTGTCGAGTCGCCTATGGAAGTTCAAATTAAATACGATTTTCCATGTAAACAAAAATTCCAAAGGTGACTCGACAGCAACTCATTTTTGATCGCATAGTATAAACGTTACATTTAGAGTTATGCCTTGCAATACATGTAATTGGTTTCTACATAACATTTTTAAATAATTTATTGATGGTTTTAAATGACATAATAAAGAATCATACTGTACCATAGATCGTTGTCTTTGTAATAAAAAACAATGCTATACAATGGGCCGTATGAATAAAAGTAAGCAAATGCTTATACTTGCAAAATTCAAAGTAAATACTCGTAAGTGCTCCTTCGTCGCGGGTAAAATCTCTGGGCCCATATTGTAGATCTTAAAAAGTTCCACACAGGGTCATAAAAAAATCAAAACGAATATGGTTAACTTCGGGTTTTTTTTTCGAATATTTTTGGAACTGATATGAATTTCAGAATATTTAAAAATCATTTTGCTAAGCCCTGAAAATACATAGTTAACTATGTTGTTAAGGAATGTGATTGGATGCTTTTTCAATGAATAACATCATTCTTTAAATAAACATCCAATCACATGCCTTAACAACATTAACAATGCCTGACAACATAGTTAACTATGCTTTATAATACCCGCCATTAGTGTAATGTGATACCTACGTTAATAGTGTACTTACCAATGATAAATGCACATACTATTAGGACCTGTAATGTATTAAGTGGTACGGTAGACATCTCTGTGTATTATTATGATACCTCAAAAGTTGCGTCTTCGGTTTATAACTAGACGGAAAATTTTACACTACAACTTTGCATTTCTCGAACTGCCTTTTTGGTTTAAACTTATCGTAAAAAAACTGATTCAAAATAATTCGCACCGAAAAATCCCTTTTCCTTAAAAATCCTGCGATCTCTTCTCGTTCGCTGGGAGATTCATCTATCTGTTAGTTCAACCACAGATTATAATTTTTTTAATCTATGGTTCAATTCAGAATGACCCCCTCTTTAATTACTGAGTAAATTTTCTACGCCTACCGAATTCAAAATGGCGATGTCTAAATTTTTAATTGGTTAGTGTCCCTTGCGCCACCAATCCCGAACGGCTGTTAACGAATCCGTTTCAGAACCTGCACGCTCAGCAAATTCCACGTTCACTTAATATACCCCTATTAAAACGGATGTAAACTGAGCAATTTAAAAAAAACAAAGACGTGTTGATAGTGATTAGTTAGAAATGGCACGTATTTCGTTGATCGCAAGCAACCAGCTAAAGTCCTTAGATCATAATTACTAACATTTGTTTGAGAAGGCTGCAGAACTTTACGAAATCTAAAAAATTTAAATCCCAACCTTGTTACATAATACTTATTTAAATTTTGCTAACAGTGGTTTTTTAAATGTTTGTGAAAAGGGTGTTGTGCACAGTCCGAAAAGCAAGCAATTAAATTTGTAAAGTACATTGTCTAAAATTAATCTTTTACTTTTAATGGCCAAAAATACGCCTTTGTTTAGATCTAGTGTTATAAAATGGTTCCCCCTCAATGATCTTCCAATTTGAAGTGGTTCTGATTCTGATTAATACGGATGTTTTGTTTGGTTTCAGTACTCACAGTAATGTTGGGTCACCCTGTGTGTTTAATTTCAATTATTTTTAAAGCGTAAATGTCGGTAGTTTTTAGATTAACATGAATCAGATCATATTTTATTTAATTCTTAAATTTGATTTACGTGTTAAGATTAAGTTGATGTTATTGTAAAAGTTCCGGTCGTTTGCGATAAAAGAGTCCCTATCGCTGCGTAAGCTAATTACGTAGTTTCAAGTTAAGCACGTGTTATCGCGGAAATAAACAGATGTTAATTCTTTGATTCTTTCTAACACGCAGATATTTTGTTATGGAAAGACGAACGCGGACGTGAGAAAGGGAAATTGATTTAAATATATGAGGAACACGTTAATCGTGGCGTTTTGTTTCGTGAGCGTTATTTGTCAGTCAGTTTTGCCAGTATCGAAGCTTTTTATAAGCTAGTCAGTTCCGCCAGTTACAACGTGTTTGGAGAAGAAAGTTTTAGCATTAGGCTCAAGTTGTGTTGCGAAAGCGTTTTACGTTCATGATGAAGTTCCCCAATATCCGTTAAAGGGGGTTTTGTCCACCATCAACGGGCCAATACTACAGTTTTAAAGGGGCAGTATACCCAAATTTCATGTTTTCGTCTAAAGATAGATTAAAAATATCTAAGGGTAACGGTGAAAACCGCAAGTCGCTACGCCGTTTCGTTATTAAATGGCAAGGTGTCCAATGTAAAAAACGGTCGTTGTGACGTCATCCCGACAAATGGGGTCGTTGGCGCGCTATAGCAATATATGGATTCGATGACGTTAGACGTGTTAATTTGAGACTGGTAGTCACTGATTTGCATTATTTTAAAAAATGCCTAACTTTGTGTTTTCCGCTGCAACAATAATTTGAAAAATGCCAATGTTACATTGCAAATTATCCCCGAGAAAAGAAGGAGCCGTGTCGAAATAACGTCTGGAAAAGTAGAAAAAACCGCTGAATCATAGTATAGTCACGTCGTTTGCAGTGTCCACTTTAAAGATGATGATTTTTTTGGAAGATACAAGAAGAAAAGGACCCTGTGCCTCAGCATAAAGTTTTGAGAAGGCTGACAATACTCAATCCCTTCTTTACATCTCACAGGAAACAAAGGTCCTAATAAAGCTATAAAACGTCAGTCAACTTATCTAAGAAAGTAAGATTGTGTCTGATTGCTTATTGTGGGTAAACGATAAATTTCGTAGTGGAGAAACCAGTTCAACATCAAACATATGCCACAATCAAACAGAAGAACTGAATCAAATGGAACCAATACCGCTTACTGAAAGCATAGGTATCCAATCTAAGCTGGGTACAGAAATTTAT